TTTTTGTTTGTGTCAAAATAATTGTTGCGTTGTTATCCCCCTTTTTTGCTATTACTGCCGTAATTGTACATATTTAAAATAAATAATGTCAATTAACGTGTGATTAGAAATGTTTTTTTGGAACTAACTCTATGATGACTTAAAAGGCAGCTAGAGATACCAGTTGACCTTTTAAAAAAGTAGGAATTGAAAGTTATATTAAACCCAGCGTTTTTTACCTTTAGAACTCTAAGGTTTTTTAAAAAAGAAACGAGGTAATAACTAAATTATTGGGTGTTCTTAAATCGGTTAGAGATTGTTCTTTAAAACGCTAGCGTAAATAGATAACCTAGATGGGGGCGTTAAATTGCTTACCTATAATATAATAATCAGATCGTACGATACTCTTCTCACATAAATGGTAAGTCTGGAGTTAAGTTTGTCATTGATTTACTGTGTTAAAGCCATAGGTTGACTTATATGGATATGAAGACGTAGATTTCCATGCAAAAGAATAGTTGACAAATACGTAGGATTTGTTGCACCATTATAACTTTACCAACTTATTAATTTATTCTACAAGAGACTATATTTTCTTAAACAAGGTAAATTATACTTAAAAACCCTAGTTGGCAATGCAACCACCTGGGAGGAAGAATTTTCGTTAATGTCTACTGCTTGGGCGCATGGAGTAGAGGTTGGGTAAATAGTTCAAATATATTAACTTTATCACTTAGAAAGGTATTCACTTTACACTTTTATGAATGGTTTTTTAATAACTACCTAATTTCGTTAACGTGCTCTTAATAATCACACGCCTCTCTGATTGGGATACACGAGAACTTGTTCTATTTTTAGTAACAGATTTTAAAATCCTCCAATTCTCATATTTTTGCTTTTTAATTGAACTAGTCGCCATCACTTTTGATCTGCTCATTTTTATACGATAAGTGACTAATTATTCTTTTTCTTTACTAATATGTATATTATTTGTTTAAAATGAAAGATGAAAGTATTGCAGTAAAAAGATATAATTCTTTAGGGATCCATTTTCATAGTTACCTATCTTCTAACGAGGAATGTAATCAAATTTTGGTTTTCTGTTTGTTATTATTTAGAACAGGAAATCGATTTAAAAGGTAATTTGCCTTTTATTCTGCAAACTAAAGTTTTAATAAATTTGGTCTGTAATAGATTTACAGAGGTTGGTTTACGAAAAAGTTATATCGAAGTATGAACGTATAACGTCGGTAAATATATATTGCAAGCCTACTAAAGCATACGGACTTGAACATTCCTTTTTTCGAAAACTTCGCGATTCTGATGTGGATTTGGATTGGCACATCCAAACCATTACTGGTTAACTTATATAAATTTTAAGTTAGTAGTTTTCTTTATAATAAGCTTTACTAGGTAGAGCACATTTCTTCTTTAAAAAACGTAGTTAAATGGTTAGAAAAAAATATACAGGAAAAGATGGACCGGTCAAGACCTTTGTGGAGGTTATATAAGGTTATAAGGTTATTATTAAATGTCATGTATTTAATTTTTACGCTGTTAACTTTTTTTACCTCTAGGTACGGTAACGCACTAAATTTTCAAGATGTTTTAGTAATACTAAGTTTTTAGATTCCTCCTCTTAAAGACGATGGACGCTGTTTGATTATGGCCCACTTTTGTCACAGTTTAAGCAATTATATTTATAATAAGGAATCATTTTTGTTCAAATACTTGATTGGCAAGTATTTTTAGTTAATTAAAGTTATTTAAACAGGTGACGGATTAGCCTTACAGAAACTTCTCTTTTCTTTGGTGAATTCTGAAAATCTAGTAAATTATTTTAACATATATTTTATAATTAGTAACTAACTTTTAGGTTTTTAGATTAAAAATTATGGAGCTCGAAATAATTTAAGAAGTGTCGGAAGTTTGCAAAAAATTAGCTTCATTCGAGTAGTTGTTCTACTTTTTAGTGGTCTTTGGGAGATTCCTCAGTTGTACTTAAAAAGAAAGGATGATTTTTAAGGTTTTTTGTTATTTTTTAAAAAGGTAAGTATAAATATCTGTTTTTTTAAAGATTTAGGAAAGAAAGGAAACTTCATTCTGGAAGAAAATGTATTTCTTTTTTGCAGGCTATTTTCACTTGAAGAGTTGAGGGCGTTAAAGCTTAAATTACAATATGGTTTTTTTTATTGACTTTTCATATATATATATATATATATATCTACTTATTACTTATAAAGTCACCGTAAATGATATTCTATTGACAGCCCTTACACTAACTTTGAAAGCTTACATTATTGAAATTTGCGAAGAAGATTCCACTGACGACCTTGACTAAGTTGCTTTAGTTATCACCTTTTTCTTGTAAAATTTTTTCTAATTTTAATAAAGGTAGAACTCTTTTTAAAACGCGTTTGTTGTTATCCCATTAATATGAGAATGGCGACTGACGGTATGTATTATAGTTTTTTATCTGTACTCTAACCTCATAGCTATTTAAAAAGGAGACGCGTTAAACAATAAAGTTTTCTTTGATTATTTTGAATTTCCTGTTTTCGCGCGCTCCCCACTGGATTGCTTTTGGAAGATAAAGCGAATAACAGGTTATATGCCTTTTTTGTCTAAGTCAATATTTCTCGTTATTTTTGTTAGACGAGAATAAAAGAAGGCTTCGAAGCATGCTATATTATAATCTTTTAAGTTTTCTTTTCACCGCAATCTCCTTCGCAGGAACTATGTTTTAAAAGTGTATTCCTTTTTACTGCAAAGATTTGCGTGCGCTTTGTCAAACATGGCCGGCCCGCCTTCTCCTGTTTACTTAGATGGTAGCTCCGTGATTCCTGGTGTGCCTATATATTATGCTTCTTATTTCTGAACTTTTCAGGAATTTTAGTCGAAGACTTGCAGTTTATAACCGAGACGGACTTGGCTGTTTACTTTGGGATGTACAGCTACAACGGAAAAGTCTCAGGTATATATTCTGCAGTTAAGTTTGTATTTTATAAACTTTTTGTAGGGACGGTTACGACGGACGCAGCTATTGAGCCGTATCCTGAGCGCCTTTGCAAGCACTGGAAGCCGCAAGTTGATGCATTAAAGCGAAGCGTTGAGGAGGTTTTAGAGAAACATAAACCAGCAGACGACTTTCTTGCTTGTCCAGATTTAGTGTTTAAATCTTCCCTGCAAGAGAAAATTATATTCGCACTCATATCACTGATATTTTCCTCCTGGATTTACTTTTTGATGGGTTCAGCTGTTACTAAGCTTTAACATGCACGAAATTCAGCTGCCTACTACGCACAGCCGTAAGCGCTACTATATTAAATACCATACCATGAAAAATAAATTACATACTTTGTTTTAAACTTTCTACTTAAAGATTGTTTATTTAAATCACTATTATCGTTACAAGGCATATAGAAGTAATAATTTGATTACGAGAGAAACTGCAGTCCACCCGCTTACCCCGAAGTTTTAAAAGAAGACATTTTAATTATATTTAGTTGTTCATATCCTTTTTTGGTTCTCGAACGAGTCATAAAACTTTGAACTTTTCAATGTTTGTTTTCCGCAAGTACAGAATGATCGCTGGTGGAGCCATAACCTTGCAGTTTTGGCTAAAAGCCACAATATCAGTGAGTTGATAGAGTAATACCCTGGGCTGCTTGGTATTTTTTTGTGTAGAATATTATTTAGTTAGTTTATCTTTGACATCAACAGTGCCTTTAATAATAGTTCAAGATAATTTCTGGTTTATGAAACTATTTTCATCAGCCGCTGTGTTATATCTATGTTTTTTCGTTAGCAAGATAATACTAGTTTTTTCAAAGAGAACACAAGATACTATAGTTCTGTTCCTCTAGAAACAAAAATGCTTGTGTGTGCTTTCTTTAATGTCGCTAACAGTAGTAATAGTGTACCTTAAAGTGTCATGTTCTTTTATCACAGTTCATCAACCAGTTGCAAACTGATAAAGAAATTATCTGGTTATATTAACCCTTTGTTACCAGTATGTCAATAATGTCAGGATTGAAAATCAAAAGCATCTTGTCTAGTAGAGATAACCTGGACTATGAAATGTAAGTTCTAGCCAATTTTTCTAATATTGACCTTTGGTAACTTAGCTTAATTTAAGAGTATCTTAGGTTATTAAGTTTCATCTGCTATATATTGTTAATTATTAGGAGCATAGCTACTGGACTCTGCAACGATTTCAGTCTCGACTACAGTTTCGGCTTCCATCTTTTGGACAACAACCGCCCGTTACTACTTGTGCTACGTTTACAAGCATGATTTACAGAAAGCTATAAGACCCCAAGCATGGAATCATAAACATCACAACATAAGTTAATAGAAATTTTAGCACCTTGGATAACGCGTGTTCGTAGATATAACTTTAGAGCATCTAACTCGGCATTGGCAATGAAAAGTTAGATAAAGTTTATTAAATTGGCTTGCACCAGTAATAAAGTACTGAAACTTTTTAGTTGGACGTCCTCATTAATACTTATATATATAAAATATTAATCTGCTATATATCATACGCGCTCCTATATCTAAAAGTTGATATTCTTTTTATAGACTCTCGTCAGCGCATATCCTTTACTCTCCCTAAACTACATTTAAATATAACCTTCTCAATTTATCTAATTAAAATTATATTTCCCTATATTTTTTATAAACTTATTTAGTCGGTTTTGAAAAACCTGTGGTTACATTTAAGGAGCTACACACGTAGAAAGGCCCAGCAATAAGAGTATCCAACTTAAACGAAAGATACTATGAAAAGTCTAAAAATATTAGCCCAACTGGCATGTTAAAAAAAGATTTTTGCTTCTCATGTTCTCCCCTTTCCTCTAAAGTTGTTCTTATTTGCACTATTGTTCAAAATAATTTCAATTGTTTTGTATTTTTCAAATTATATAGAATAAATTTTCGATAACACACAGTTAACTTCTACGTTCTAGCTACATTAGCACTTGATCTATTCGAAGAGATATAAGCTTGCAAAGTTGAGAGATTATAGAAAAAATTTTGCACTTAAATAAAAATTAATTCAGTAAACAAAGTTTTAATATTTAGTATAGCTCCCTTTTGTCACGGACACTGCTTGTACTCTCTTTGGCTTAATGGCAGTCAGATTCATTTATAAATGACAGTCCCTGGTTCTCGCTCGAGTCAAAAAACTCCGAATATTCCAGCTCTCAATCAGAAGTAAAATGCTGACATACCACAAAGGAGCTTTCAATCGAAAAGGTAACATTATTTTCTTGACGTTAACAGACAAAAACTAGCGCTTACTAGAGTCACGTTGTCGGCGATAATGTGCTCCGTTTTATGACCCTTAAGTAAGTTCGCTCACCAGGAGTCGTGCCTGGCTAGCCTGTCGTAAAGGGCAAAGGTATTACGTTGGAAGACAACGTCTAAAGGGTCCAGCTGAAGGTCCCGGTGAAGAGTTTCATTTCGCACAAACCACGGGCCTTAGTCATCATGCAGCAATTTGTTCTGTCGTACTTGAAGCGCCTACGCTATTGCAGTGGAATCGTAGGTCCAAGCAGCAAATGCGTATGTCATCATAGGCTGGAATGTAAGACATATAATTACTGTTTGTTTCACAGAGAAAGTTTGCTCTTACCGCATAGTAAAGGGTAAAGCGCCTTAGTTGCTGCCTTGACTTTCGCCACTAGGTACTGCACGTAGGCTGCCAGGAAAGTTTGTGGTCATTGAGGCACCCAAGTATTTCGCTTGAGAACACCACGGACATTCTTCGCGCCATCACAAGTTAAGGGTGCCAACAGGGGGATGCGCGTTTCTTACTAATTAAAAGCGCTTTGTTCTCTAACACTTTTATGGAAACTTTCCAACTATGGCACCAGTCAGGAAGGGCGTCAAGATAGCGCTGTAGATGCTTGCATAGCAACTTCGGCTCGATGAGTAAACGGCCGTATCATCGGCGTAGAGGCGATTCGTGTGTGTAGATTTAATGGCAAAGGCTCATCGCTCATATAAATTGCAAATAAAAGGGGCGAAAGAAGGGGTCCATGAGGGACACCTCTGTCAAAGATTGATCTCCCATACGCTCGCTGAAAACGCAGCCATTTAGGTATATTCAGCACGTTGTAAAGGTCATGAGGAACGGATAATGATTTGTGCAGTGGACCTTCATGCCAAGCTTTATCAAATGCTTTTTCAACTTCAAGGAAGACAGCGCCTGTTGGCTTCTTAAAGTTAAAAGGGCGAGTGGTCCATTCAGTTAAGCGGAGGAGTTGCTGGGTCGTTGAGTGCCCTTGCCGAAATCCAAACTGAAACTCCGGCAAGGCGTCCCGAGTCCACGACCTCGTTTAGAAGGCGCAGTAGAACGGCCTTACCCACTTTGCCGAGCGCTGACAGGAGACTGTTGATTAAGGGGTTGGTACTTGTTAGTTGCTGATACCGGTTTAAGTGTCGTTGGCAGCGTCTACCATTTTCCAAAAGGCGCCAAGGACTATCGCAAGTTTCGACAACTGCGTGGACCTCGCCAAAATTAACTAGCTCGAGTGGTTCGTGGACAACGTGCGACTATATGGTGCAGCTAGGTCTCCCATTTATTGTTAAAATTGGGCCATTAGCTTCTTTCTTATGCACTTGTGCAGTCAATTAAGCATAAGTTTGTCTTTGGCGCCCCCGCAACAACACGGCCACCCGGCTAAGACATCGACGTTGGTATATAAGTGTCTATAGTTCTTCAGGCAACCGATTGGGGCGGTACGTTACTTCACGGGTGATCGTGGCAGTAGTGCGAGCCATCTTCAGTGCTCTTTCGAATAAGGCTACAGCATCATCCAGCAGGACGACACGGTGGGAAAGTAATTTCTAAAAACTTAGCATATTTGTCCAGTTGGTAAAAAAGCGGGTGATAGTCTTCGGTAGCTATCAGGTTGTAGTAATGACCCGGTGTTACATTTTTCCATTCTGATTGTTCACGTGTTCAAAGCTCGTCCAAGTTAGCAGGTGCTGATTCGTAATATCCCACCTATCTCTTCAAGATCCCACATGCATGCTCAATGGGATTGGGATCAGGGGTTGTGGAGGTCAGTCTAGCACTTGGAGCGACTGTAATTAAAGCCGTCATTCCACCGATGGTGCATTGTGACCATTGTGACAGGAGCATTATCCTGCTGGAAAAAAAAACTATTTCACCAAGAAAGACCATACCAATCGCATGTTCTGGGTAGAATCATTCTCGATAATCCCTATATATCCAACCCCCTTAGGCGTTATAAAGAACCAAATCATAATCGTTCCTCCTTCATGTTTAAACGTTTGCACAATTTGGCGATCAAGTAACTATTATCGCTGGAACGCTTCCCAACACCACTTGATACAATCTGAATCATATCTTGGTTTCATTAAAAAAGATCACTTTTTCCCCCTCAAGAATGGACTAATTTCCGTACTTCTTCACATTCTCATACTTAGTCGCTTGTGGCGGTTCAAAACGGGTTTAATTAACTTTTTTTCGCATAGAGTGAATGAGTGACTTATTTTTGCTTTAAAAAATTAATTGTTTTGTTAGTTCTTCAACTCTCCTAGGATTATACGAGTGCTTATTCCCAGCAAATTGCAATGCTCTCGATACGGCAGATCTTAAAATTGGTTTATCTTATTTATTTTCTAGTATTTTTAAAGCTTTCCGTGCCATATCACATGTACTCAATGTCACTTGACGTTCAAGTCGAGCTACATCCCAGTTTTTTAAAATATTTGGATGCCCAGGTTCATAGCAAGGACGATATAGCTCATATTAAGCGTTGATGCGGGGTATCGTGGACTCATTGACACCACATTTAGGAGCGATTTCAGTATAAGGCTTGCCTTGATCTAGAAGACATTATATATCAGCTTCTTTATCGACTAAAAGTTTCGCTCTAAATCACTTAAACGCTTTAAAAAAACCCCATATAAATGAGTGATTATGAAAATTTCGTACGAAAATTAAAACCTGGAGTCACGTGCAAAATCTTTTAAATCGGTACTCAAACTTCAAAAACTTAAGAAAGCAATTCCTTTGGAGCAAACTATATTATGTATATCTCATCCTAATCTTATATATATAAGGAATCAATATAACCAATTATTCAAAGTGTAAGAAGATTTTTACTAAAATTTATTTAACATAGACATTATTTTGAATGGTAGTGTATATTGCCTTTTTTATATATATAGGAAGGTGGGCCACTGTCGAAAGTTACGTTTAAACAAATAAACATAAAATGCGAGTCTGCAGGCTAGAGAATTAAAGAATAGAGGTTTAATAAATC